ACGGGGCACCCGGGAGGGAGGACAGAGGGCTCCTGCCCACGGAGGCTCCCTGGCAAGCTTGGGAGGCTGAGGAGTGGCGCCCACAGGTAGACTGCTCCTGGCCAGGGAGGCTCCTTCTCTCTCTCTCTCTCTCTTTCTCACCCGGCCTCCCTCAGCCGCCGCCTCTGTTTCTCTCCCGCCGCCGCCAGGCTCTCCTCCTCGTCCTCCTCCTTTCCCCTTCGGCGCCTCTTCCGGCCCCGACCGGGCCGGATCCAGCAACCTTCGGCGGCTGCCCCGCGGGGTTCCATGCCGGAGGAAGGGCGCGCGAGGCGGCCAGGAAGGTCCCTCCGCGGCACCCGTAGGCCCGGCGGCCGCTCTTCTGCAGCCACAGAGGGAGAAAGTCAGGCAAGAGAAGGAACACTTCCGGACCTCCGTCGGCGCCCTTTGCGGGGCAGGACGATTAGAACCGCCCTTCTACCCTCACGCCCGCCGCGTTCGAACGGGAGCCGGAAGAGTCGCCTTCCGCCGCGCGCTCCGCACGGGGTCCGAGGATTCCCTGGGGTCACGTGGCAGGGAAGCCGGAAATGGCCGCCCACGCCTCAGCCGGCGGGCGGGCGGGCGAGGCGAGCGAGGCGTCTCCTGAGCGCGTGCAGAGCGCCTCCCTGCCGGGGCGAGGTTCGTAGCGGTGGGAGGGAGAGAGAGGAGGGGCGCGGCTTTTGGGGCGAAGTCACTTTTTCTGGTCGAGGGTCCCTCAGCGGGCGGGGGATTCTGGGCCATGTAGTCCGGGAGGGCTGTGTGTGTGTGTGTGTGTGTGTGTGTGTGTGTGTGAGGGGGGGCAGGAAAAGGATCGGCCTCCCCACTCTCTCTTCCCCTCCCCGCGCTGAGCGGGACCCCAAACACACACACACACACACCCTTTGGGGGGACTCCCCCTCTCCCCCCCCCGCCCCTCGCTGGGGGTTCAAGCCACCCCCTGATGTCCCGCCTTCCACTCCCCATAGGATGGAACTTTCCCTCCAAACCCATGACAGACAGGTAACATCAGTGCTGTATGTAACAATTTTATCTATGTACTCTGCCTTCTGTGGATTCTCCACATTCTCCTTTTCACTATTCAGGAATGTGCAGAGCAAACCAAAAAAGCCCGCCCTTGGCTGTGGGTTCAAGCCACCTTGCCCTGCCTCCCCTCACAACAGCCCCCCTTGGGGGGGGGAAGGGAGGCGGAGAGGGTAGGCCAGCCCCAGGGCAATGGAAGGCTACACCGCCTGGCAGGCAGGCTTGCTGGCTGGCTTGCCTTCAGGGCACCAAGGGAGGGAGGGAGGGAGGGAGGCAGCCCAGACCTCTTTCCTATGACAGGTTGGGGGGATGCTGTGGTTCAGTCACATGGCGGCCGTCCCGGAGGAGCCCACGTGCGCTAATCCATTCGTTTCTTAATTTTAGGGTGAAGGAAGCCACGCCTGGAAGAGAAATCACAAGACACGAGAAAGAAAGAAAGAGAGAGAGAGACAGAGAGAGAGGTTGTTCCTCTTGGCCTTTCTGCAGGGGGCTGAAAATCGCTGCCAGGGGTCTTGGCAAGGAGCTCCCGCCAGCCCCCCACCCGACCTTTGTGTGTGGAGAGAGAGCCCTCCTGCACTGCTCAGAAAAACGTTCCACCCTCTTGGGTCAGATGCTGGTCTGGGCAGAAGCCTGTGGGGAGGAATGGAGGAGTAAGGAGCTGCTTTGAACATGAAGCCGCTGTTGAGACGCTTCTTTGGGAAGAGAAATCCTCGGTGAAGGTGGTGGGATGTGAAATATATGTTCCATGGCAGCCCCTGCCGCGCCTGAGCCAACGCCCAGCCCCTGGTAAGTGTTGCTCCAGCGCTCCTCCTGGAGTGGAAGTTCTAAAAGTCAAGGGAGGTTTGATCATGCGTTGTGGTCTACGTGTGCGTTTGTGTTGGTTGCTGTTTTTGCAATATATGGCGTGTTTCCCAGTTTGGGCACAAGATCATTTGGTTGGGGGATCCCATGGGTGGATCCTCCTCTGAAGGCTCAGTCTCTGAGTTTTTTTCCTGGGCTTCTGCTTAGGAATAGCTGAGGGAAGAATGGTAAAAACAAACCTCAGTGTGCCGTTTGGTTCCTGCCTCCTGCCACCTCACACACCCCCTCCCCACAGACCTCTGCCCCCTTGTCTGGGAAAGGCTGAGCAGCCCCCCCCCCCAGTGCTCTCTCTCCTAGGGGCACATCTTGAATTCCACTGTGCCAATCACTCCTTGCAGGTGGAATTGCTTTTTCCTCTACGACAGTTCGAAGGTGAAGGAGGAAGGAGACCCCACACAAGCCGGGATTTGCTATTTCAACCCCCGCCAGGTAGGAGGAACTTTTATGTTTATGTTTATCTGTTGTAAACCCCCCAGAGTGGCCCTGGCTGCCAGATGGGTGGTATATAAATTAAATAAGTAATAATAACGATAATAACAACATTAATAATAACTTCAGTGGCTGCCCAGGATTGCTCGTCCCAAAGCCAGCACCTTGACACCTAAACGCTCATTAATAAACATACCCAGTTGTTTTTGTTACTGCCTGTGCGTAGGTCTGGCCGAATTTAGTGCGGCTTTGCTGAAGAGGTGGCAGTATGGTGCTTTGTGTGAAGAGGAGAGCCGAGAGCGACCCTTCTCCTTAATGCTTTAATGGGCTTAATTCCCTGCCCCCCCATCAAAGAAGTGCAAATAGATCTGTCCCCCCCCCCGGTCTCTCCTTGCCTCACCTCCTTCCCACCTACGTGTATTTGCCAGCCTTGCATCATAAGCTTCTTGGAACAGGGAGCCAAGAGGGTCGGAGATTGGAGAGAGAGCCTATGTGTTTGCTATTCAGAATATCTAAAAGTGATTTTCTCGGTCCAAGACCTCGCCCAGGCAGCTCTGTGTTAGGACTGCCTTGTGACTTCCCGAGAACTGTTAAAATCTGGCTGCCTCCACTTCCTCCCACGTCTCCCGCCCCTGCCAAGAGTGTGTCTGCATTTCTTGCTTGAGGAGGTAGCCCTCCACACCTCTGGGGAAGGAAGCAGGAGCCCCCAAAAGCTTGTGTCAGATCAAAGGTGCTGCCGCGCAAGGGACCACCAGGCTTTGCTGCTTTGCAAAGAGCAGGAGCCCCCCATCGAGTTCAGCAGGTTGATTCCCAGGCGAGCGACTAGGGAGGGAAGCCCTCGTATTTCATGCCGTGCTTCAGCATGCTCTATGCTCTCCTTGGGTGTGTGTGGGGGGGAGGGGGTTCTGGCTGCTCTAGATCAGCCCTTGTCTATCCCTCGTTGCCGCCAACCAGTCCTGTAGCCAGGATGCCTCT